TTAGGGTTAGGGTTAGGGTTACTGTTCTTATATAACCAAAGAAGATGGTCTGAACCTTATAGAGAGTTACATTGAGCATGCGTGGGAGTTTGTCATCTTCACTTATTTTCTGATAGCAACGCATTATTTCAAACGACATTTGAGGTGATATCTGATTTCAAGCGCGTAGGGCTGATCAGCTGCAGGATCGATCAGACAGTTGATTCTATCTTGCAGGCTCTGATCTTCCAAGGCCATTCTGTCTCTTGAAAGCTGGCGTGATCGTACGAAATCAGGATTGGCTTTGATTCTGGGTGCTTTGCTGAATCTGTCTTACAGCACCATTGGCACTTTGTTTTATGATGTATTGCCCCCAAACTCGATTGCAGCTCCTTGGCAGCTGAAGCCGCAGCTGGGAAACAGAACTAGACAACAGACATAGACAAAGACTGAAATTGGCATTCATCACCCTGTTGTTTTTCTTGTCTTTTGTTGGTCTGTTCAAGTTTCTTGGTATTTCATAAGGTCAAGCTACATGCATCACGGACACATATTGTGCGACAGGGCTTTTATCCGAATTGTCAGTTGCGTGGACATCTCCAAACTTGTCCAGACCGCTCCATTACAGGGCCTTTTTCTTGACATTGTCCAACCTCTCATTTGAGGTCATAGAATCGGTGGCCTTGTCACAAAGCCTACCACACTGGAGGACACATGGAACGATGGACATTGTCGTAAGATACATGCATGTTCCCAATTCATCTCAAACCACTGAAACTACAGCATCATTGCAGTACGCGTAACAATTCCAGGAAACGTATAACAGTAAGAAGTATCGGAAGTGTTTTGTGATATAAAATATATAAAAAAAGAATAATTTGGTGCCAACATATATGTAGTGATTATGATGATGATGATGATTATGATGATTGCCGTAGCCTCATTAGGGACACAACCTAAAAAAGGAAGTGTGCTTTGTTAAAACAACTCAGAACGTCGTTGTGCTAAACAAGTTTATACAAAATCCAGCCGATATGGTCCTCGATCCCATTAGGACCTTGCATCTTATGTTGGATGGGTCCAGGACCTTCTTAAATTGCATCAGCGCAACGATTTTGCCAAAATAATGTGTTCATTCATGATCCTATGTGCTCCCGTTCAAAAGTTATGTTTTTGCTCTATCAAATGGGGGTTATCTTGCATTTCTGGGTCAAAATGATGCCATAGCGTCAAACCGATGTCGGAATCGGAATCCTCAAAGTCGACTTACCTGAAAAAGTGTCTTCATACATGATTCTAGGTGCTCTGGTTCAAAAGTTAATTTTTCAAGATGGCGCCGGCGGCCATCTTGGATTTGGCCCCCTAGCGAAAAATGCCGGGATTTTTGGGAGGGACCGGGGGGCTAATTTCTTTATAAATGGTCCATAGAAGTCAAATCCATCGTCAAACCATCCTAGCCAGAGAATGGTCACAGAACTTATGTTTTGGACCCAACTACACACACATGTGCCCAATTTTAGAAAGCTGTATACCGGAAATCAAATTATTTTGTTTAAGCCCCTGTCACATAGTAAGAAAATAGAGTTAATTTTTGCCTAGCGTACTTGAAATTTGGCAAAGTCCAGATACGCTCAAATTCTCGGCCAAATTCCTTTTTTTTTTTACGAACTCCTGACATATAAGACAATGCGAAATGAATAAGGAACGAATGCTGGGCGTATAATTAGCATCCATAGCAACGAATGACAGCACATGCGGTAGCGTCTATCCAACGAATGCTAAACGTACGCAACGAATGACCAACGTATGCCTAGCGTGCTGCGGCCAGTCACATGACGTGTCTCCGCTGACCCATAAATACGTTCTCCAAGTCCACGTCATCACATTCGTTAGCCATTCATTAGACAAACTCTATGTATACGTTGGGCATTTGCTATTATGACAAAGATCCTTGGGTTAGACGTATATATGTCCGAACAGCTGACAAAGAAGCAACCTACACCCAACGTGCAAAACGTTCACACAGCGAATGCTCAACGTATACATAGCGTATTGATCACTACATTGTCACCATCTCAAATTTGTTAACATGCTCAATTTTTTTCCTAGACCTGCCTCAGGCGCACCTCTGCGAACCCCAATGAACCGCTAACGAATACAGCTTATGCCAAATGTGTCACGAACGAATGACAACTTACACGAACGTACACCCACATTTCAAAAAAACTTCGGGCACACGTTAGCTCTATTCGCAACAGTGTGACAGGGCCTTTACATAAGTATATTATAAGTTTGCTTTTAAAAATAAGTGAGTACAAGAAGTAATTAATGTTCCCCATTTGTTGAAAAAAAAGTTAAAAGCTAGTGTGCATTTCCCAATCCAGTGTTTAAGATTTAAGAATGAAAATAATGCAGTACGGAAAAACATCTACTTACCAGACCAGGAAAATTGGACCATGCATGGAGACATTGACTTAGATTTGTCCTTAAAAAGCCTGTCTATCGATATGGCATACTTTGTTTTCTTATAGGAGTGATAATCCAGGCTTGCACTAAAAATATCTGATAATTAAATTTGTCAAATTCACCAATATATTTATAACTTTTTGTATTGCTTTTTTTTTTCTTTCTTTTTTACCTGACCTTCAGCAATGACAGGCATATTTAGGACATATCTTAGTAAGTCATCAATGGTCAGTGTATGAATGTCATCAATGTTCCAAGTGATGAATATCTAATTGTGTAAGTGAGGTGACCTAAGGGGCATGTTGGACCAGCTTTAGCAGGTTTTGATGGTTATCATGGTGGCCGCAGTTTGGCGTACAGAATGCTGTTGTGTGCGACCTTGTCTTGCAAAACCCATCCACATTAAGCCACATTCTATCCTCCAAAGAGATTCATTTGGAAACTGCATAAGCCTCCGTGGTAGTGGACCGGCCAAAGTGGAATATTACACTTTGGACAGCATTTTTTGGTAATAGGCAGGCATCCACGCTAGATCAATTCTTTAAACCATAACAAACAAGATGCGGGTGGATGCCATCGTTAATGTTGACCCTAAATATACCTAAGTTGCACAAATAGTTAAATCCCTGCCATGTAATATATTTATTCCCATACTGGGTATATTCTTAATTGTTTTACTTTTTGAACAAACAAATATTTTAGTGACTCTCCTAACACCCTTACTTTAATAACATTTTCTGAAGCAATAAGTAACTGAATAATTATGAGGACATAGTAACGATCCAAAATGGCTACCATTATAACCCAACAATTCCGCGCATTTACCTTGTCTCCAGATATCATCAAGTAGTCTTGGTAAACCTCAGTATTGATGAGCATCAAATTCATCAGGTTGCTTACTAGCACAGTTGCCCTAGTTTTATAAATTTGTAAAGCGCCTTTAACGTCTTTTATTGGGGTGAGATATTGGTGTCGCCCTATTGTTAAACGACCCTCGGAACAAGGAATTTTATTGTCGCAAACAATCTAGATCGGTTCTTCGTGGTCCAAAACATACCTATACCTAAATTTGGAGAGGCAGGATAAGGGTAATTGGACGTTTCTCCCAAAGGTATAACTTTGTTATAATAAATATTATTGCTAAATGCTATATTATAACAGGGCCAAGGGAAAGTCGCCTTATAATAATATAGCATTAGAAATACAAAAATGTGTGGGGTAGGATAAGGTAAAATTGGGGTCATTAAAGTTGGCAAAAAATGTGTGCACAAGTCTATGGGAATGTCTCCCTAATATCCAATTATCGTTATTTCTATGATTATTATTATTAAATATATTATTGTTATTAAATATTGTGTTATACAGTTGGATTTTATAACTCATGATAGCTGATGCAATGACTCCAAATTTGAAAATGACTATTAAATGATCTTTTACTTAAAAAAAATGGTTAAAGTGGTCAGATATTGCCTGAGATTGCACCACAGAGCTTCTAGAATTCAACATTTTCTGGACCTCTTAAGCAGGCCCCCAGACCCATCGCGGTTACGCTGTTTCGCACTCACATTACTTTTAATCACATTATTGCTGACCATGCGTTTCGGTTTTTGGCGTATCGGTTTCGATGACGCACTGGTATGGAATACAAACGCAGATATGCATAACTTCCACTGTTTGAGTTCGACAGTCAGGGTCTTGAGGAAAAAGTTATTGTATATACGCGTACCCCCGCCCTGCAAACAGGACGCTGGGATACTCTGATGAATACAAGCTCTGATTGGTTGGATTTTGCGTGACCAGTGACCTGCGCGTCATCAAGTTCGTGACTCTGCAAGGTTTGAAACGGCCGTTAAGACTGATTCATTACTCTTTTATTCCAGTTTAGAGATGTTTTTTCTCGTTGAAAAGCGTAATAATGTAAGGGAATTCCCGTCACTCGCTCAGGCTCCGTTTCGAATCACGAACGGTCGGATTGCATTATGCGACGCTCAAAATTTTGTCCACATGGTCCGCAATGAAACAGAAATCACATCCGGTATGGAATGTGCGCAATTCTATGGTGAGTTTTCGGATAGCATTTGCGCACATTGTCTAACTGCGGTCTTGAACAGCTGAAGCCAGATGCTTTATACATAGGTCATAGGCCACTTCCTTCACAAGATTCTGTGAAGCTCATCAGAGTGACTAAATGACTACTTAAAATTAGCAGCCCCCCCCCCTCCGATAAAAGTGTGTGGTTTCATTCTTCAGCGATGTTATACATTCTCATGCAGTTGCTTTAAACGAACAGAAAACTGTTATAAATCACATGGATTGGCATTCCCCATTTTTTTTTGTGAGTGCAAAATTGGCTTTTATGTTAATGCAACAAAGCCTGACCATCATTTACGGTGAACCCTATTTCACTTTTGTTTTCAATGTTCTTACTGGATACTCTTAAGTGCTGCGCAGCATCCCTATATTTGATTTTTTACACTTTGTTTAAATTAAAAAACAAAACGTAACTAAACAATTTTGATGTTTCTGTTTTATACTTTGCACACGTAGGCTAGTGAAATCTCTGTTGAGCAGAGAGAAAGCTTGTGGCACTATATGGGAAGGAGGTACATCACCACAACCACACTGCACTTCTGCTCACCAACAGCCTACACATAATGCACGAGAGCCTCTTCCAGCTGCCGTTTGTGAGTACACTGCGTTCTTGGGTCACAAACATCCATGCTCTACTGGGTTTTTCACAACATGCTCTCGACTATCTGAAGAAGAAGTGTACATCTGGAGATGAGACCTTTCAGGTGAGGGATTATTTGTTTAGTTTTTGCTAGTAATTGATTCTATTGAACATTTGGGGAGATTTGGACTTGAAAAGTGTTGTAAGGGTACAATGTTTTATTGCAGATCAGTACAATGCCCAGGATTTTTAGTGAAAGGGACTGATGCAGTAGTATTTTAAACACAACAGGTTTGCACAAATTGCAAAGGGCAGGACATGTTGCTGAATATCAATGAAACAATAATGAAGCCATTTCAGTATTGAATCAATAATCCACATGATCCACTTTCACGATATCTTCTGGGTCTTTTTTTAGGTTGCTGCTACTGTAATCAACATGTAGAATATGATCGAGGTCTCAAGCGAGCATTCGGATATGTTGACTTGGGTATCTTGTCTGAAGAAGACAGTGAAGAGGTAGCTAGTTCAATAGTGCTAGTTTCCACAGGGATCAACTTCAGGCCTAACTTCAACCATCCTGCACATCCCGGCACATCAGTCTATGTGTTTCTTGATCCGCCTCATGATCAAGCTCATCAGGAACCTCGATACTGCACAAGTTTAAGGCAGTAAAGGAGTCATCCAGTGGGAAATGCTGGAGGATCTTAACAAGGTGTCTTGTCTGAAGAAGACAGTGAAGAGATAGCTAGTTCATCAGTGCTAGTTTCAACAGGGATCAACTTCAGGCCTAACTTCAACCATCCTGCACATCCAGGCACATCAGTCTATGCGTTCTTGATCCACCTCATGATCAAGCTCATCAGGAACCTCCTGCACAAGTTTAAGGCAGTGAAGTGGCCTGACCAAGAAGTCATGTAGTGGGAAATGCTTGAGCGTCTTAACAACCCTTCAAGCGATTCATCAACGTCAACTGGCTAACAAAGTCACCGAGAGGTGAGTTGATTATGCAACTATTTCTTATGCACACACACAGTTTTAGAAAGCTGTAAACCGGTAAGGAATTTGTTTCATGTAAGTATATGAGGCTGCTTTTAAAAATTTGCGAGTGCAAGTAGTTATTTGTTGTGAAAAAAATCCCATTCCAGTGGTTTAGATTTTATAATGAAATAAATGCAGTAGGAAAAAAAAAAACAACTACTCTACCAGTCCAAGAAAATTGGGCCATGCCCATTGACTAAATGTTGTCCTTAAAAAGCATGTCTATTGACATGGCATACTTTAAATGTTCTTAAAGGAGTGATAATCCAGGCTTGCAGTAAAACAAATCCTGAAAATTAAATTTGTCAAATTCACCATAGTAATTTTAAAATAATTACTTTTTTCTTTTTTCATTGATTTTTTTATTTACCTGACCCACTTAGCCAATGACAAGCAAAAATCGAAATAAATTATGGTGTGCAACCTTGTCTTGCAAAAATAAAACAATCCACAGAATCCAAATTCCATCCTTTAAAGAGATGTATTTGGAAACTGCATAAGCCTGAAGTCCGTGGGGAATAGGAAAGGACAGTCAAGGAGTTATTAGGTCCTTTTGTACACTTGCAGACTTGGTGGTTAATGCTGATGTTGATACCGATTTTACCGGGAATGGCATCAAATTCCTGTTTGCTTGACTGCTTTCTGATGCTGTCTGTTGTATGAATAAAAAGGTGGTGGTGGAAAATTTAGTATAACCTGCAAATGTTTACAGTTCTATAAGGTTTTGACCCCGACAAACCAGAATCTATTTTCCAAGGTTTATCAAAACCATGACTTATAAATCATGCTGGCACGTTCATTGATTTGTAAATCACAAATGTAGGCAATTCATCATAATCAATGTTTGTAAACCATGATGTTTTGGAAGATCATTATAATGGTTGACAAGCCATGGAAATGTGTATCAATTAATGATTTATAAACAATGACAATCCTGAATCTAACACAAATTATATGGTCAAGCAAAAAAAACGAGACATCAAAGAGAGGTAAAATTGACCATGGGACCAAGTTTCCAATTTTAGGAATTGGGACAAATGTTGCCTAATTGCCTCTGTGTAGTTTTTAGCAAGTAAACAAGGTTCTAAACACTTTCTTGTGATCACTTTGTAAACATTTTGAGTATGAGGTGATAACAAGAAAGTGTAAACACTTTGTGATTACTTGCTAAACAGATTTCTTACAGGACCGGCAAATATCCAAAAAAGGCTGCAAAACAACGAAATCTTCGCCTCCGCATTGACGCTATGCAACCCGGTGATACACAAAAGCGACTCAAACAAGAACGGAATACCATCCTCCACTCCATGCGCAAACGTGCCGAAGTCAATGGCTCTGCACGACTAGACGAACTTGCGGCAGAGGTTGAACGCCTCCATGATGGTGCACAGATGTTCCGTGCAGTACGACTACTCTACCGCCAGCCCTACATCCCTCCTGTGATTCACAACGAACATAGCCAAACCGTAAATGACGCAACAGAAACTGGTAAAATAATTACAGAGTACTTCAGCGACTAATTCTGCGGTGATGTCTCCACGGGCGTGTCTCCTTTTCAAGGAGAGCGCCGTCCAATGCAAACCCCCGTACAGCCTGCAGAGGTGAAGGAAAGCTATGAAGAAACTTAACAATGATCGTTCCTGTGGCTGGGACTCCATGCCTGGCGAGCTGCTCTAAATACGCTGCAGACACCTTGGCACAACCAACAGCTGACATCTTCAACCAAGCACTGGAGGCACATCAACCACTTAGCGCACTGGACGGCGCTACGAAAGACACTTTCTCTTTTGGTCCTCAAACGCATTTACGGGAGGGTGGACGCATTTCTTGCCCCTGGTCAAAGCGGATTTCGACGAGGTCGTGGAACAGTAGATGTCGTCTTTGGCTACCGATGGCTGTGCGCCAAGACCCAACGCTGCAAGAAAAGCGCAGAGATTCTTGGGATCGATGTGAGTCGTGCCTTCGATACCAATCAAGAAGACACCGGCTGATGGAAGTACTCGAGACGTTTCTTGATGAGTCGGAATTGCGCATTATTAGACTACTCCTATCAGAAACATCGTTGGAGCCACGACTGCGGAGAGGTACCTGCGCTCCTTTTGAAACCACCATCGGCACACCTCAGGGAGACAGTCTTTCTCCAGTGTTGTTTGTGATATACCTTGAAGCGGCTCTTCGTGACCTTCGTCAAAAGCTGCAAACACGAAGCAACAGGGACGATAGTCTTCCTCTGGATGTGGCATATGCAGATGATGTAGATTTCGTAAGCGACTCAAGAGAACTCATCGACAGGGTGGAACAAGTTGCACCAGGGAGTCTGCTCGAATTAGTTTCTTATAGTGAATCCGACCAAAACTGAGCACACATCGGTGAAGCGTCTAGATTGCCGCAGAGAAGAGGAATGGCGCATGACGAAGAAGCTTGGCTCTCTGTTGGGAGACGGCGAGGACGTCGCCCGTCGTAAGCAGTTAGCTACTGTAGCTTTCCACCAGATGAAGACACTTTGGTTGCGGCGTCACCACGTGAGTGAGAGTCTTCGTATCCGCCTCTACAACGCATTTGTGCTCCCCATATTACTGTACAACATGGGGACCTGGGGCCTCACCCAAAAACAAGCCGACCAACTTGACTCATTCCACCGAAGCCAGTTACGACAGCTCATTGGTATTCGGTGGCCACATAGAATCTCCAACAAGGCACTCTACCTTCGCTGCAAAAGTGGACCAGTCCACATCAAGGTCCTCAAAGCACGCTGACGACTCTTCGGACATGTCTTGCGGCTCCCGCGAGATGTACCCGCTCAACTATTCGTAGATGAGTACTCCCGATCGGAATCTGGCGAGGACGCCCTCGTATCACTCTACCAGTGGTGCTCGACCGAGACCTCAAGACAGTAGGCAAGCGTCTACACAGCACAGCTTGGTTGGACTACCTAAGACTTCTGTCCAAGGAGGAATGGACGGAGCTGACTGGAAGAATAGTCGAAACGGCAGAAGCGGAACTGACAATGTCAGCTACGCGATAACTGCTACACACACACACACAGGGCTGCACACCCAGACTTGTTTCACATACCTAGTGTGGACTTTCCTTTCTTTTCGTGTAGTTAAGGAACACCAGTGGAAAAACTCATTTTTCTCAAACTGTGAAAACTCTTACAACCCAATTTTTTTTCAATGATTCCCTTTAGTGTTTCTCTTCATTCTGCTACAGATAAACCTAACCCAAAAACACTGTGTGGACGTGGGCAAGTCCACACTTCGTCGCTGCTACCTACATTATGTGGACGTCTTTTGTTCGGAAGTCCACACTGCGTATGTAAGACAAGCTCACAAATATCCACACAAAAGGCTACACACAAATGTTTCCAATGGTCTTGAACAAATGGTGGAGGAGCTTACACGCTATGCAACCAGTACTGATGGGTCTGCTGATAAGATCCTTTTCAGACGTTGATGTTGTTCTTGGCTTCTTTTGTGATTCCGGTCCAACATAAAAAGACAGCGAACCAGCCCAAGTAACTACCGGCCTGTTATCCATCATCTCCAAAGTATCGGAATCCATCATTCAATGTAATTTCTCTCTTTCAAACTCATAGCCTGTTTGCGATACCAATCAAGAAGACACCGGCTGATGGAAGTACTCGAGACGATTCTTGATGAGTCGGAATTGCGCATTATTAGACTACTCCTATCAGAAACATCGTTGGAGCCACGACTGCGGAGAGGTACCTGCGCTCCTTATGAAACCACCATCGGCACATCTCAGGGAGACAGTCTTTCTCCAGTGTTGTTTGTGATATACCTTGAAGCGGCTCTTCGTGACCTTCGTCAAAAGCTGCAAACACAAAGCAAAAGTCCACCGTCTCCTGCCGCCTTACACAGACATATCATCCAGTACGTAACCAACTGCAGAGAAGCCAAACAACATCCGCTTAACTTTGCATCATGGCAATTTGCGAAAACCTATACGAAGAACTGCACTCGTTGGCAGAGAGCTTTGCCAAATACAGCAGTGACATAACAGCACTCAGTGAAACTTGTTTTGCTAAGGAGGGTCATCTCAAGAAAATTGGCGTTGGTTACCCCTTTTTCTGGAGTGGTTGTCGAAGCGATAAACATAATGCACAGCTGGTGTTGGTTTTGACGAGAAAAATCCATCGCTGATAAATCTCGAAAGTCTGCCAGTGGGTGTCAACACAGCGCAACATCATGCTATCATGTAAATGCCACCTACCGTGGCGAACCAGGATGATCTCTTCTGGAAATTATCTTCCAGTTTCGTATAATAGACAAACTCTTCATTCTCGGCGACTTCCATGCTCGTAATATGGAACCATGGTATCGGTACGCACAATTTAACTGGTCTCTTTTTCCACACATTTGATGATTGGTGAGCAATTGAGCTCTGATGAACTTACACATCACAGATAACCATAAAACCTTAACCGCAGATAGGAACCTAAACACGGTTCAGCCAAAGCTGAACGCATCGCTAAGCACTATCATTGCATAGGGCGAAGTCTCCAGCTGTGCAAATGTTTCATAGTTTGTGGTTAAGACCACATTCATATATGTCACATCTTCGCTGTCCCGATATTCCAACCTGCGAAGGGTCACCTTAGAGCGTCCTGTACCAGTCCTGTGTCTGTTGATACATTTCCATTCAGTCCAGCTTCAAGTCAGCTCTAGGCGGACGTTCCCCTTTCCCTCTGTTGTGGTGGTTGTTGGGAGCTTGGCAAGCCTTTCCTCCCATAAGGTGATTCTGGCGCAAATAGTATTCGCTTCTGCAAGAGGTGTTACACTATGAACAAAAGCTAGCTTTTAACTTTGAATCTCTGCAGGCACATGACCGAAGAGAGGATGCAGTTCGTCTGTAGTCTTTCTTCCACAACGGTGAAGTTGACATGTTGAGATCCGAAGCCGAAGTCATCTACACATATAAATCTGCTGGTTCCCTCATTCGTGGTTGGTAATTTGTGTAGATGTTGAAGAGGAGAGGCACACACACTCTCCTGTTGGAAAACCATTCTTGAGTCTTCGCCATCTGCTTTTTTACCGCCCAGGTCAGCAAAAATGAGCATGCTTTCGATCAGTTCTGACAGTCGGATATCCTTGGTAATATCCAAGATCTTACTGAAGAGGCGGGCATCTGTGATTGACTGAATCCTAAGCATCTGATAGATAAACAAACACAACAACGGTTATCCCTTCCTCAAAACCATCTTCGATGCCAGGACGGAAACCTGCTTGTTCTTGGATGAGGCTATCATCAACAACATGGGTAAAGAAGCTGGTTCCAACTCAAATTCCTGTAGGAGATGCGTTTGCAACGTCTTACTGAGTAACTAAAAAGTTCTTCCCCAAAAGTTCACGAATGCCAAAAAAGGAAACCGCTTGGTTGTGTGACAACCAACAGAGGAATCTCCACGGTGGTCATTGCTGGTAGGGTCCAGGGCTTTTTTATTTGCTTCACGACACGCATTGCAACATTTTGTTGATAACTATTAAGAAAAGGAAGAGAAATCCAGCATAAATTTGCCTTAAAATGCATAATTCTGAACTGTGTTTCGCCGATTTGGCAGAGGCAATCCAACTCTGTCAGTAGGAAAGGCCTCTTGTCCAAAATTGGCTGTACTTAAAAAAATATATATCGAGATGGTTGGAGCAGTTTCATTGCCCTTCAGTGTTTTGGCTAGCATGCTTTTTGTTATGCTTTCCGTGTCATCATCATCAGATGAGATTCAGGACTGATTGGAAAACTCTTCACTTTCGTAAGACTTTTGAGCAAATAAGGCATTCATCGCCTACTCTCAAGAAGACTCACAATGGAGCTTGCTCATACTTAACACTTGCCAATCAGTCTGAAAAAAAAATTCCAGAAGTGATTTTTCAAGTTAAGCCATATTGCTCCAGCAAGGCATCACCATCACCATCACCTGTATGCGCAAAGGTTTAGAATTTCTGTAAATATTTCTGTATAATTTCTGTAAAAAGATTTCCTACTAGTAATTGCAGAAATGAATTTTGTACTTATGAATGCGTATCTAAAAGTTTCGTATTCGCAGTTGCGTCTATCTTGATAATTAACATATTCCTATGTAAGGTGTTACACTATGATGGTTTACAGTCGTCTTCGCCATCAAGATGCATTGCAAAAATTAAAACTCTTGTGTAGTCCCTAAAGATCAAGAGTGGTTGCAGTGTGGGGTATGTCTAAACCAATGGCCAAATTTTGTCCCCAAATTTGCACACTTGCTTGCTTGAGTGTTCCTCATTTCAGTGCTGCTAGACTCCCAAATTGACTGCCGGCAATGATTTATGCCTCAAACCAAATCCTTTATTTAATATTACTTGGAGTGTATTTTGGAAGTACTCTATGATGTACACAGTTGTTTGACCAGTAATATGAATATTACTTTGAAGGATTTCCTATATTTCATATACTGTTGATATTCTCTTCCGAATATTGCACGTCTTAATGTAGTTGACCGTGCAAGGGAGCCATAAATTGTTTTCTTTATAAACTACATGTTTATTCCATGTATGCCTATGTAAAAGTAAGGTAACATTTGCATTGTATCTGGGTGATTGTAAAGCATTTACACTTTCGATGACCATTGTACTTCTGTTTTGACAATTAGCGCATGCGACCTCAAGACCCCTCCCTCTGCACGTAGACTACTATTAACGTGTATTAGGGTCAGCACCGGATCAATTTTTGTGTTGTGCTATCTGTTTGTTCTTGCAATAGACAG